CCAAACATACATTTGATATTTGATGTAGACAACTGGAATTGCCCTAAAGGACAAGGAGTCCCCTGCCCATGAGGGGAGCATTCACACACACATCCTCATGCTGAGATGGATGGATGCATTTAGACCAGGCATGAAGTACTCAAATACATCGCTGTGGTTAATATCTTTACTGGTCACAGGCACAAATTAAGCTGGAAAAATGTTTATGATGTTGCCACTTTTAAGAGACTGCACAGCTGCTTGTAGGCAGTAATAAGAGTAGTCTATGTTTACTGAACACTCGCCCACGTGCTGGTCGTAAGCCTTTAGCCTGCATTAACTCATTTAATCCTCAATTATGAGATGGGTTCTTCTATTATGGTTGCTCTCCATTTTTCACATGGAGAACCTGTGGCAAAATGAGGGTATGTGACCAAGATTACCTAAGTGTTAGGTAGCAGGCCAAGACTTGAACATAGGTTATCTGACCTCAGAGCCTGGGCTCTTAGCCACTGTGCCATTCCATCTCCAACTTACAGAGGCTGCTGCTTTTAGGGGCTACCCCTGGGGTGTCACTCAATGCCTGTTGTGTCTTGAGGAGGCCCAATAAATGACACCTTATTTCCATGCCTGAGTTTTGAGCCAATAAAGGAACGCTACAAAAGTGCAGGGCAGGTGGGAATCCAAAATCCTACATTTATTGTTTAATAAAAATGGGTATTGACAGCTAAATCTCAGAATTAGATAGATTGGGGGCTCTAGAGCCAGATTGTGTGGGTTTAAATCCCAGCTCCAACCTTCACTAACTGGGAGATCTGGAGAATCCCTCTGAGACTCAGTTCCCTCCTTTGTAAAGTGGGACAATAATGGTACTTCCTTACAGGATTGTTGTGAAGATTAAATTAATTAACATATGGAAAGCATTTAGTTACTGGCATGTGGTGAGTTCTCACTCAAGACTAGCGATTATCTTTACTATTAACTATATATTACCAGGTGGCCCAGGGACTCCTGCATGACTCCCCATGAGGTCTTACCTCCAGAAAAATTGCTGCAAGGAGGGTAGAAAGCAGAAGTCATGCTTCTTGCAGGCAGCTTGCTTCCCAGAGAAAGACGGAAGCCAAGAACTGGGCTTTACAGCTCAAGTTCTCTTTACAAACCCACCACGAGAAGAAGAGAGGCCAGGAGTGTGGTGCAATTGAACCTTCCACCCCATGGAATGAAACATGACCTGCCCTTCCATCCCCAACCTATCCCTAGTGTATTGGGCACCAGCATCCCAGAAGCCCTGTTCTAGAGGCCATTATATTCTGCCCTGGGATCTATCATCAAGAAAACTTGTCTTAACAGTTAGGAAGTATTGAATAATTTGTATGCTTTCTGATCCTAGAAATAGATCATATAAGGAAAGGCTAGAGGAATCAGATTGTTTGCCCTGGAAACTCAATGCATGATGCTCCCGAGTAGAGGAAGAAAGGCTGTGAGGTAGCTGTCAGGCCTCTGAGCCCAAGATAAGCCATCATATCCCCTGTGACCTGCACATATACATCCAGATGGCCTGAAGCAACTGAAGATCCACAAAAGAAGTGCAAATAGCCTTAACTGATGACATTCCACCATTGTGATTTGTTCTTGCCCCACCCTAACTGATAGGATATATTCTCCCCTGACCCTTAAGAAGGTACTTTGTAATATTCTCCCCTGCCCTTAAGAAGGTACTTTGTAATATTCTCCCCCACCCTTAAGAAGGTACTTTGTAATATTCTCCCCGCCCTTGAGAATGTACTTTGTACATCTATCCCAAACCTATAAGAACTAATGATAATCTCACCACCCTTTGCTGACTCCTTTTTTGGACTCAGCCCGCCTGCACCCAGGTGAAATAAACAGCCTTGTTGCTCACACAAAGTCTGTTTGGTGGTCTCTTCACACAGATGCGTGTGACAGTAGCACTGGTAAGTGAGAGAAGAGATTACAGCTGTGCTGGGAACAGTTGGCCAGAGCCTGTTTTCTTTTAAGAGGGAAAGGCTGAAAGTGTAGCATGCTATTTTAACTAGAATTATAGTTGGCCAGGAATAATTCTCCCTTTATCATTATCATCATAATTATCACTGTAATTATAATAAATAATACTTGATGGTTGAAAAAAATTCAGATTGGTTTCCAAAGGTTCTGTGCCTTAGATAGTAAAAGCAGGAAGGCCTTTACTCACCTGCGTGGTGCTTTTCCTGATAGGACACAGTCTTTTCAGACTGCTCAGGGCTGGCAAAGGTCACTACATCTGAAGAAGTTAACGGAAAACTGATGTCTCCAAGAAGTGCTTCATAGTCAGAAAGTTCTGGAGTCATTTCAGTTTTTCAGTTTCAAGTCAACTTGTGTGGCTGTAGATAAGTCATTTGCCCTTTCTGGGCCTTAATCACTTCACCTATAAAGCAAGGACACTGGACCACCTCTCCAAGAATCATTTCAACTCTGACCATCTCTAATTTTATATTTCTTATTTATACTAGTGAACCCAATGGGCAGTGTTCCTGTGATCTTAACCCCAGGGGAACATGTGGGCATTTTATTGAAGAGTGGCCTTTGCTATCTGGTCCTTTAGTGACTCAAACAGTCGAAGATCCAGGATCTTTGTTGTTGGTGATGGTGGTGGTGGGGGCACAATTTAGAACAGAGAGGTCTTCTGCACCCCTCATTTCAAATATGGACACTGCCCAATCTAGTACCTAGAGCATAACAGGCCCTTAAAGCATTTTTATTAATTTGTAAGTCTAGCTTGTGACTCAAGTTCACCAATGATTTCACTGAAAATAGTATTTGTAGGTTTTAATTTTACCCATTCTGAGAAAGGGCTTTTATTTTTTTAAACTTTTTTTTATAGAGATAGGGTCTCACTATGTTGCCCAGGCTGGTCTCCAACTCCTGAGCTCAAGTGATGCTCCCACCTCTGCCTCCCAAAGTGCTGGGATTACAGGCATAAGCCACCACGTCTGGCACAAGAAAGGGTTTTTAAGAACTCCCTGCCTGGGAACGCAGGACTATCCTGTCTCACCGGTCAAGGCCCTCGGGCATGGGTTTTCATTCACCAGCATCAGCTGAGTACCCACTATGGGACTGGCCTGAACTTGGTGAGTGGGCCTCAAAGATGAACAGGAAGAGTCTCTGCTCTCAGTGAGAGGAAAACAGTCATGAGAAAGATTGAAGGAAGTGACACCTGAGCAGAGTTTCAGACAGGAACAAAAAGGGCATGCCAGGCAGACAGACAGCATGAGCAAAGGCCTCCGGTGTGAGAAGACTTGGAACCACAGAGCAGCTAAATGTCCAAGCACTGCTGGTGTGTCAGGATCTGCGAAAAGAGCATGGAGATGGGCCTGGATAGGTAGGCAGGGACCAGCTGAGAAGGGCCTATGGCTTGGCTAAGGAGTTTGGATTTGTCCTGAAGGCAGTGGGGGATTTGTCCTGAAGGCAGCCGAGAGAGGGATGTCACTGAAGATATTTCAGCAGGGGGTTATGACGTGTCCAACTACTCTGATAGCAGAGCAGTGTTATCTTCTAAACTGAAGGCCTGCAGGACAGTTATGGGCCTTACCATAGAACCGAGAAGAACACCTATGGAATACATGGGGTTGTGGAGTATTCCACCTCAGGTTTGTTGTTGTTGTTGTTTGAGACTGGGTCTCAGTCCTGTCACCCAGCCTGGAGTGCAGTGGCGTGATCTCAGCTCACTGCTGCCTCGGACTTCGTGAGTTCAAGTGATCTTCCCACCTCAGCCTACAAGTAGGTAGGACCACAGGCATGTGCCACCGTGCCTGGATAATTTTTTGAATTTTTAGTACAAAAGAGATAGATTTTTGCCCTGTTGCCCAGGCTGGTCTCAAACTCTTGGGCTTAAGCAATCCTCCAGCCTGGGCCTCCCAAAATGCTGGGATTACAGGCGTGAGCCACCACGCCTGGCCCATCTTAGGTTAAAGAAAAACATGACTAATGAATAGTATCAGGTGTCAGGTTGCCATCGTTTCCTCAGGAAGGGTTTCTCTCCCTGGACCAGGTTAGCTCTCCTTGCCACATGATCCCGTGGCACCCAGAACATCGTCTCCTGACAACGTCACTCTTGTTCAACGCCCATCTTCTCTTCAGGACCCTAGGTTCCAAGACAGCTTGGATTTTGGTTTTTCTTACTCACTGCTGTCCCCCCAGTTGCTTGTCCAGTGCTGGCACGAGTAGATGCTCAATAAATATTTCTTGAATTAAGAACAAAAGTCACACTGGAGGGATGATCAGAGAGGCGAGCCAGGGGAATGTGATTTCCCTCCTGGTGATCACTATAAATGAAACCCAGAGGCTGGGAGAGTTTCCTAAAAGAGAAAGTTTTAATCCAGGCTCTGTCATGTGCCCACTGGATATATTTCGCTCTGGTGTGCCTTGACTCCTCGCTTATGAGGTGAGGTAGGTGGACAAAAACGATTGCTAGGTCTCTCTCTCTAACCCCAACATTTTATGCATGAAAAAATATTCCGTGCCTATGACTCTCTTCTTTCTAGGGTTGCTATGTTTCAGAAAGATATGGCCACTGGTAAATTAAAGAAGAATAACATCATGATTTTAGCCAGAGAAACTAAAGTGATCTTACAAAGATGAAAGGTATTTAAAATGAAAGGGTAGATCTGGGCTGTCTGGAATTTGTTCTGAGAAAGGAATATTTTTACAGGATGAATTAAACTGAGTTCCAACCACTTTTATAAAAAGCAAGATTTTTTTTTTTTTTTTTCAGAGAGAAAGAGTCAGAGCATGAGAATCAGCCCCACCTCCCCCGCTCTCCCTCTGGATTTTGCTGAGATTTGGTGAAATATCTGAGACCTGTTCCTCTCCTCCCTGCTTCACACTTAAGGACAGAGCCCAGCAGAATTGCTGCCAGGATCCTTCCCCCATTGCCCATGTGCACAGCTGAGCTGCCGGAGGTGCTGAGTGGGAGGACTCCTCCGTGGGGGGAAAACCCAGCAAGTAAGCAGGAAGTTACTCACCGGAGGTCTCTTCCAGATGAACTGGATGGGGAACTTCTGGCTATAAAAGAGAGAGGTCTCATCCGGTGGGAACTCGGGGTCCACATAAAGAACTTTCTTTTCTAGACATTTCTTGTGAAGCTGCTCGAATGTCTTCTCTTTCACTCCGATAATAGGAAAATTGCGGCTGATGATGGCTGAATAGATGCCACTTGCGTTTCCACCCCCAGCCTCGGTGGCCTTGCTCTGAGCCGGGTGAGGAACTGGCCCTGGGGACCTTGGCTCAGCCGCTGTCCTTGGAGCCACAGATGCGCTAATGACGGTCGGCATGGCAAGTGGCTTTGGAAGAAAAAGCTTTTTAAAGAAAACAAGATACAGCTACCTTCAAGGAAAGGAAGCAACTGCAAAGGGGAAGTTAGAGTAATTCTGTCATCTGAGAGAAAAGTGTCCACATCCAGTTCGAAGTTGAAAGCCCATCAGAAGGTCGTACAGGTTATGTCCATCTTAAAAACCGAGCTGTGATTCTGAAGCCATAAGTTCTCCTGAGAAATGAGTGCTAAAGGATTTCTGAAGCAATGTTGACCTGGGGTCTCCTACCAGCAGCATGCATGCCAGAGGGAGAGAGAAAGAGAGTGAGGGTTGTGTTTCAGTGGCCTGAAGATGCTTGAGCCAGAAAAACTAAAAATAGATGTGAAGAAACACTGTGAGTATGAGAGCAAGAGAGAGGAGAACCTGGCTAGGGACATCTCTGTTGCCATGAAGTGCTGGTGTTGTCAGAAAATGAAAAGGGAGTATCTGAGTAAGGTGAACACTGGAAAGAAGCTGAGAACTGCTGACATGTTATTGAGTAGGCAGTTATACAGACCACCCAACTACTGGCCACCAAATGAATGGAAAACAGTATTGCAAAAAAGCTAGTTAGGGTGAACGAGAGGTACTGAATTCTAGGAAAATATTCTGTGAATTTTAGAGAACATGATTTTTAGTCCTAAAATTTTAGGATATCAGAACATTATTCAATGTGAGATTTGGCATCTTTTCTAGAATGTTCTTGGGTCAGCGTTTATTGGAAATGTCTGCATGGAAAATGCTACTCAGCAGAGTCCTTGGTTGAGAAAATCCCTGCCTGTACCTGCAGACTTGACCTTGCCACCTCTTGTCTCTTCCCATCCCCAAAATAAACACTGGGACTGAATCTGCTATAAAAAGTGTACCTGCCGGGCGCGGGGGCTCACATCTGTAATCTCAGCACTTTGGGATGCCGAGGCGGGTGGATCACATGAGGTCAGGAGTTCGAGATCAGCCTGGCCAACAATAGTGAAACCAGTGAAAACACATAAGACAGGCATGGTGGTGGGTGCCTGTAATCCCAGCTACTTGGGAGGCTGAGACAGAAGAATCGCTTGAACCCAGGAGGCAGAGGTTGGAGTGAACCCAGATTGCGCCACTGTACTCCAGCCTGGGTGACAGAACGAGACTCCATCTTAAAAAAAAAAAGTGCACCTGAGCACAGTAAATCCCCAGTGTCATCAATAGGTTCTAGTAAGCTTGTTTTGGTTAAAGTCACAGTTTACAAGAACCTATCAACGATGTTAAGCGAGGACTTACTGTATAGGTTACATGTTGACTCATTCAGCCATGCCACATTAGGCATCTGAGACAGAAGCTGGAACTGGATACTGAACCAGACTGCCTGTCAAGCCCTGGGATGTCACACCTGGTTTCAGGGCTCTTAGATGAGAGCATAAGTGGCTCTGGGGAAGGGAAGTGCCTGCCTGGCCTCCACCTTGTCTTCTACCCACAACAGCTGCTCCCTGGGCTGTAAGGAGATGACCACATTTCAAGTATGGCAGAGTGGAGGCATGTCCTAGGCTGTAGTCATGCCTGTTCCTATGCGACCAGTCTCAATAATCGAAGATTAGAGGCTATGGAAGAAGGTGGGAAGTGACAGGTAAAATAGGGAGTACTATCAGCCTCCTGATCCCTGGGATTGCGGCATTGAAGAACTCTTATGTCTGGGCTTGCAGGAACCATCAGCCTAGCCTTCTGTTCCTCCAGGAAAACGCCCAGGGCTCTTTACTAGTCTTGGAGAGGCAGAATAGAGGACAGCGGTCTCTGGTGGCTGACCACCTCGGTTCAAAGTCTAGGTTGACCCTTTACTGGCTGTGCCTGTGTAACTTTAGGTGAGTTATTTCTTCCTTTCTGTCTCAGATTTCTCACCTATAAAATAGGTACAATTATAGTCATTCTGTTATTAGGTTTTTATAACAATTAAATAATTTATGTAATACATTTAACACAGTGCCAGGATTTTGTTAAGCACTCAATAAATGGTGTTAGAGAAGACCTGAATTTAATATTACTTTGGAGTTAGATCAGGTTGAATGATAACATTCACTCACTGATGCAAATCAGCATTCACTCAGTGGGCATTAACTGAATATCTGCTATGTGGACAGCACAGGAATAGGTATAGTCTGCCCAGGCTCATGTGGTACGCAGCATCTCCAGTCAGCGGCTGGCCTATCTGCCTGCACTAAAAAGACTGACTTCCACCCTCAAAGTCACCAATGGCACAGACAGCAAAGGTGGGGTTTCCTTACCCCACTGTTGTACGTTTGGGTCCCAGGCTAGCATGCTATCCCACCCTGAAATTCACAGCACTGACCCACACTTTATTGTTTTTGCTTATTTAACTTCCCGTTTGCCTGTAAGACCGTGGAGCTGGGAAGTGGGTTCCCATTTCTCTCTCAGGTTTAGATATATTGAAGGCCCTTAACAAATATGTGTTATGTATCTGGTGAATGAAATTTTCCTATGCAAAGAGAAATGTCTTACACTTCTGGCTTTGCCAGTGCAATCAAAGTTTCTCTGCTGATCTGCTTCAGGCGAAGGAGCTATCCTGGGCCATATACCCACTGGGCTTTCTTTCCTCAGCTGTCTCAGCCAGCACCATCTGTGAGGAACTAACAGAAGCGTGTGACAGCAGCAAGCCTCTTGTCAGAGCCGGGTGGGCATGTCAAACACAGAAAGGGCAAGGTGCCAATCATTTTGCTCTGTCAGTTGTTGTGGATAAAACATTCTCTCAGATGAATAGGTTCAAACTCAAGGTTTACTCAATGGCACAGCTGTGGAAACCAATGCTATTAGGGAGAAATCCAACTCGAGCCCATGAACAAAGGGCAGATAATGAACACATAAACAGCTGCACATTTCAATTCCCAGAAGCCCCTTTAAGGATAAAGAACCAGTTTTTATAACATATTTCACTCACGGTCATGTAATATCTGTGGCTGGAATGGTTTCTGTTGCACAGCATTGCCAACTAATGGCTCTGTCTTTTCCACCAAGAAGCATTTCTTTGATTTCTAACACTATTGGAAGCAATGTTTTTGCTTATCATTATAATACCTCTCATTCATTAAGTGCCTACTGGGAGCTAGCCACTTCACAGAGACCTTTAAAAAACTTTTTATTTTAAGATAATTTTAGACTTACAAAAGAGTTGCAAAGATAGAACTCTTTAGTGTCCTCCAGTCTCTGATCATTCCACAGTCTTTGTCTCTCATGACCTTGACACTTTTGAAGAGTATTTGTCAGGTTTTTGTAGAATGACCCTAAATTTGGGTTTCTCTGATATTTTTCACATGATTAGACTAAGGTTATGGATTTGGGGGAAGACTGTCACAGATGTGACATGGCCACCTCCTCAAACCATATTTGGGGGTACACGATATTGATAGGTTTTATTACAGGTGATGTCAACTTTGATCACTTGCCTAAAGTAATGTTTACCGAGTTTCTCCCTGGTAATGTTACTATTTTTCCCTTTCTGTACACATAAAATATTTCAAATTTGTAGAAACACTCTGCAAGTTTCACTAATTCCATTTTACATCTGAGGAAACTTGAGATATCTGCTGTATTTTGACAGTTAAGTATCAGAAAACATACAACATTTTAGAGATTATCTCTTTTTTTTTTTTAGATGGAGTCTCTGTCACCAGGCTCCATATATAAAATGTTTATATATTTATATAAAAATATTATAAAATATTTTTAATATTGATTTTATATAATCCTGAAAGATTATACTTACATTTTTCTGTTGGGTAGTTTCTGTTTTTAAACTGATTTGTCAACTCATTCCTTGACATTTATATCTTGAAGGAAAGACACACTATGAATTCATTTTAGAGCTTTTTTAGGAACCCTGTTGAAATGAATAAAACTTCTTATATAAAATCCAGTTTCCTATGAAACTATATTAAGAATTAGCCACAAAAAAGTAACTTATTACCTGTAGGCCAACTCAGCCCCATATTGCTCTCTGGTACACAAATTCAGAAATGGGAGGCAGGTAAAGTGTGAGAAGCAATAAGCGCAGAAAACCATTAAAAACACCCAGGTTATCTTTCTCTCCACTTGTCTCTAGCCAAATGTTTCAATATAGATTTGGGTCAAAACAGAGCAGCTCCTCATTAACTTATCTACTAGTTACTGTTCCATTCCTCCAACAATATTTTAAATGGAAGAACAGATGTGCAATAAATGTTGACCTAAAGAGAGTTCTGATTCAACTTTAAATGATATTAAAAACTATCATTTATATTAGGGAGGAGCACCCAGTCTTCTGGCTAAGTTTTAGTTTAGGTTGGCAAGGGAAATTTGAAGATAGGAACCGTGGCTTCAGCTAATGTAAGGTTGCTCCTTTCTTCTCAACTGCAAAACTTACAGAAATAGGAGCAAAGAATCTGTGCAGGTCTCTGTGAGCTTACATATGGTGCAGAGCTCAAATCTCAACTTATACACATGTACAATGCTGACTGCCTTTGGGAAGAATCTTGTATCAGAAAAGTAAATGAGATGGAAATACATTCAAATGTAATTTTTTAATCAATTAAATCCACCAGCTAACCAATCACAGCTAACAGTTACTGAAAGTCAGGTATAATAGTGCTGTGTCAGATAGAAGAGAAATAGAACATGCTCTTGAGGAACATACAATCTAGTGAGAACAGAGACACACTGAAAACATTAAGGTATGATCCCTGAGAATGGTAAGTAGAGCACAGTTATAAGTGGGATAGCATTACAGGGAAGGGCAAAATCACTGCTAATGGGTATGGGGGTAGGGGTGTTCACGTAGTTAGGCTTAATGGGAAAGTGGGATTTGAGTTGGGCCTGGAAGGATGGTAAGGGCAAGAGGATATTGGTGCCCAGGGATGAGAAGGCACAGAGGTGGCCACTGGCAAGTTGCTAAGGGGAGGAAGCCTGATAAGAAGAGGTGTGTGCTGAGGAGTGCTGGGGAGTTGAGGCTGCCAAAACAGATGCTGAGGCAGGCAGCAGGGAGCCACTGGGATCTGCAGAGCCTTGGGCATTATGATGCAACTGGTATATTGTAATGTTCTGCTCCATGCCAAGCCACATTAGAGCCTGGGACAAAAGGAAAACCCAGTAATACTAATCCTGTCTTTATTTTAAATTTTGATATTTTGTTCATCATGGTTTTTTTTTTTTTTTTTGCATTAATTCTGATTTTTAAAAATAGTGGATTGAAATATTACTTATTTTGATTACTGTATTTTTTGGCATCCCTTACATTTTGTGCCCAAGGCCAGGGCCTCCCTTGCCTCATCCTAGTCCCAGTCATGAGTTCTACTTCGGAAATCCAGTGGTGGGTACATGGGTATTCATTTCATTGTTATTAATCATAGCTTACTCATGTTACAAATATTCTTTGGTTAGCAGACAGCACTTAATTAAAAAACAATTTAAAAGACATGGATTTTAAGACTAACTAGAAACTATTGAGCCTGAGAAGCACGAAAGAGAAAAGAATCCTTCGTGCTGCCAAGTGGATCTCTAGGGGAGAATAACTCCCACTGCTGCAGCGTATGCAGTGCACACAGAAGAGGGCTGCTTTGCCCAGTCCATGTGGGTGGAAGATAACTGTGGGGACTATCAGAGGCTGCTGTCCACTTGGAGACTGGCCTTGAGCAACTCAGTTGCTGCAGCCACAACGCCAATGCTACATGGCCCGAGGCAAGCCCTGGCAAAGGGGCTGCCCAGGTAGGCTTGGCCCACATTAAAACAGAACCATGCAGCCTTGCTCAAGCAATGGAAGCAACAGAAGACTCTTGAACGCTATAAATGTCTCAGGGCTATGTATCCGGGAGAAAAGGGGATGTTTGACACAAGGAATATTGCTAGTACATCTTAACATGTAAAATCTGAAAATTTAAAACATGAAATCTATTGTTCATTAGTATAATGGTGACGAATGAAAGATTATTTTGACCAGGAAAGGCAAGTAGATTGCTGCACAAATCTCAAAAAAGGCGAGGGGAAGGTCACCAGGGGCAGTTCTTTGTCATATGATGCGGACCT